TTTAATCAATAACCACTGCTATGTATTTTCATATCATTTAGCATCTGTGTTTAGCCCCTAGAGTTCTCATTGGTAAAACGAGGTAAAACAATGTAAAATAGCCACTGAGTATAACACACTCTCTTACTGATTGGTGAGAAAACCACACCCCATATACCAGAGGTTGTTCCATCCCTTCAAAAAAGAGGCTAAATGAGTGAGCAAATTTAATGGATAATAGGTAAATGATAACCAGTGCAGAAATAAAAAATGATAAAATAAATGCCATTTTAAAAAGAGGATTCAAATCGGTTGTCTTCATTAAATTTATGAATCCATTTTCTTTTATTTCTTTTAATCTGCATTTTCATAAATTGCATTCCATTATGTATTTATGAAGTCATTAATGTTAATTCATTTTTAAATTATGTTCCTTCAGACCATTTTATGTTGTTTTTATAAATCCCTTTTTAACTTCAACTACCTATTGATGGGTTTGTAAATGTCTTTTTTTATCATCCCTTAAAATATTGTCATCTAGCCTAACTATTTAGATTAATCACAAATACCTTTATTTATTGACAGTATTTAACAAATGCTTTATTAAGGTTTCTTTGACACTTGCAATCCTCTATAGGGAGCAAGATGTAGAGCAAAGTGTCGCGAGTGCAGCTACAGAACTAATAAAGAAAGGCCTCGTAAGAAAAGAAGAACAATGATGGAGGAAATGAAAAAAAGTAACGGAGGATTTTAGGTACAGGGGTAGAAAGTGCACAGAGAAGTTTTTGAAGGGAATAAGGAAGATGTCCCTTTGGGGACTGAAGACAGAGGAGAAAAAAAGAAAGAAAAAGAAAGAAAGGGAGGAGTGATGGTAGACACAGTGCAGGTTTGTGAGTACGGACTCAGAGAGAGAGTGATGAACATTTGCTCGGGGAGGATGGGATTTGGGGACCAAGGAGATGCGGGCCAATGGTTATTGTTACAAAGCTTGTCGAGGGCAGAAAACATCATACAAGTGGAGTTCCAGTGGAGGGGGAGAATTCACAGTGCGGTAGAGATGAGGATTGACGTGAAGAAGAAAGAAGACGGGGTGTAATATTGTGATCAAAAAACCAGACTGCAGAAGAGTGTGCTTGTCTTATCTCATCATTCAGCCTTAAACGGAGACACAGCACTTAGCTCGGGGGTAAGATAAATCAAACTCCCCATGTTGACAATTTGTTCACCACTCCAACATTTGTTAATGCAACAATAGCAGCTGTAGAGTTGTTTGATGTTTAAATGAATTTGTTCCACTTAACATTTTGCATTTAGCTGATTCTTTTACCAGTGAACCGTAATTTGCAATCGCTGGTTTAAAGCCACTTCTCTGCAAAAATAGATGGAAATCACATATTGTGTTGGTATGTAAAAGAATCCCCCCCACTTCCGTCCTTTGCTCTCTTAAGACAAAACAGCTGCTGACATGAAATAGATGTAGTAGCTTCATATGACGTGATCCGATATGACGTGTCATTGTCAACACTCGCTATTTATTGTCAG